AATAAATGTATGTATTGGATCTACTAGTTTTATTTCTATATTTCCACACACTAAACTAATTGAGTGTGTTTCATAAATTCGTGTAGTCCATCCTCTTGAATTTATTCAGAAGAGAATTATTACCAACATTGCTAAACTATTTAAAAAAATGAAAGAATCACATGCTTTCATGACAGCGTGTTTGATTTTAAAATTAAATTCAACATGTTGTCTCTTGACTGACAGCTTTTTCAGATTTAATTTTATTCCAACAACGCAAATTCCTTTCAATATATTGCCACGTTAACAATGTCAGATCTCATTGGGTATTGAAATATGTTTTTTTACGTGCTTTGCTTTGTGATGAGTATGTTCTTCGTTTAACAGTAACACGTCTCTATAGATTTGACATACGATGACTTATTGGCTATAAAATTATGCAATGTTACAGGGAGTTGATCAACAGGTGGAACAGGAGAGTGAGGAACATCTCTTACTAGACAATGTACCAATAAAAGACACTTCTTGTTTTGGTGAAACGATCAATGTAGAATGTGATGGTAGAGAGATGTATTGGATGGAGCCTATTCAACATGGAGACGCTGGTAAGGCTCATTCATAACATAACGTATTTATTATGAGGAAGAATGAGACGCGAATTCACTATATATTTAAAATGTTCAACTCACAACAATTTTGATGTGAGTAAAATTTCGTGCACGAATCTACTATTTCACACCAAGTAAGTGATATATTGTCTTTTTAAGGCATGTACTTACGATTGTGTTTTTTCACTTTCCATATATTAGAAACTATGAAGCGTTCGTGTTCCTGGTGGCTTTATTGTGAATATACCTACCTAGGTGGTGGATGGTGGTGGAAAGAGTGTTGGTATATCTTGTTGTGTTAGATTGGTCTACTGACATTCACCGTGATTGTCGAATTTGAAGCTTGCTCATATTCATATCTATATATACAATGTTTTCTGCTTTGATAGTATTCTCAATGCTGTTTCCATGTTAGTCGAGAAGATTCACGTGTATGTACGAGTTTGTATATGCATAGCAATGGGTAGGTTGATTTACTGTAGAGAATGATTAAGTCACTGGCAAAGAACGCCGCTGAGCACGGCTCGGACAAAATTCGTATACAATAATTTTGAAAATTCGACATGCTTCTATGAAATTTGATGTTTATAATTAATTCTTATTACTTTTATTAGTTAACAGAAATTATTTTGTTAAATAATTTAGAATGCTACATTCATTCACGTACTGTGAAATATAAATCTTTACAAAGCTAAATTGATGTTAGAATTCAAATTAGTCAATCTGGCAATGGTATTGTGACATCAACGTTCCTTCTTATTTTGTACATGTTCGTAGACAATATTTAGTCAATTGAATATTTGAATTTAAATGAAACTGGGGACCGCTTTTTACAAAATTATGTTTATGTTTATTAGCGTTGTGCTTTTTACTGTAAACGGATTCATCAATAAACTTAATATGCGTATTTGTATTGTGTGTTCATTAAAATATGAGTGAAAAATAGTGATTACCAGGCCTATGAGGTGACTGTAACAAGATGTTATGTTGAACTATGACCCGCCCTCGTGAATATTAAGTAGCTAGACTACTGCGCATGTTTTCGGTGTTGAGTCAGTGATGGATGCAGCATGGTCTGTATTTGTTTACCTACTATACAGAATAAACCCAGAGTTAGCGGGACCAGCGCAATATAAACGTGACCTTGATAATGGGGTTCTGTTTTTCCTGAGTGTTCAAATAATAGAAGCTGACATTTTTGGACTAACGTTATGTAATTGAAACACAAGCCACAAGTATTAGATGGCTTACAAAAGAGGCTATAGTTAATATGGGCAAATGATTTGCACTGCATGAAAATTTGAATTTCCGTCGTAGCCGCTTGCCGGATTAGCAACGTGTTTTGCAGTAAATCCGTTGTTTATATTTGGGTGCGTAAACGCTCGAATTTCCCTCGCGTAACCGTCGAAACTGAAACGACGTAAATTTAGAAATTGCGCGTTTGATACGCCCACTGTAAACAGCGGAAATTCCCAAATTTGCTGTCGTTTTACGCTGAACTTAAAGAACTGATATACTACGTTGCCCGTTGTATATTTTCAACGTAAATTGACGGGCAACTCTGAGTTTGTCGTTGTTTTACGTTCAACTTATTAAGCGGAAATCACGCAGCTTGAACTGCTGCACTACTGGCTTGACATGGTAGAAATCATTCACTTTTCATATAAACCTGCTTTGGTGGCCAGGTCTAAACATGGAAGGTACTAACGGAAGGAGCCACGACGCTATTGTTTTAGCTTTACCCCATGATCGTTTGTCAATGTTTGTTCACAAACATTGTTCTTGTTAGCTTTTAACACCTTCGTACAATGGGTTATGCTAATCTCGAGCATTCGGTAATATTCAGAGCATGTTCGGAAGCGATAGTCGTACCTCGCATGCACAATATTGAAAATGGCGAACTTTAATGGAAAATTGTCAGATATAACATTGATTGAAGAAGAACTGATGAAATATCGTGAATTTTGTATTTGTAATGGTAACGAGACTTAATCAATGATTGCTTGTGACGATTGCATTATTCAATGGTACCATTGTCAGTGCGTGGGTTTGGCGCCCGAAACTGTCGAAATGTTTTA